ACATGGCTGCGGCTCGAGTGGGCTCGGCACGGACGGGAAGTCAGACGGGTCAGCCCCAGGCCCCGGCGGCAGCGCGGCTCCTGCCGATACCTCTCCCACCACCGCACTAGGCTCTTGCATCAGCGAAAGGGAACGACACCCCGCCCTCTCCTCCAAGCGTTGGAAATGCGCCTGCGCAGAGCTGGCCAAGGCGCAGGCGCGCAGAAGAGCCAACCTAGCGCGCTTCGTGTGGCGCGAGTTACCAGGCGACGCCGCGTAGCCAGGCATGCCGGGACTTGTAGTCCACCTATAAGCGGATTGCGCTTGCGCTGTAGCCTCCCAGCGACCTGCGCTCGACGACCGAGCGAGCGGCAGCCGGAAGAAGGTTAGGTTGTTGATACTGCCTCAGCGTTTTGGAGCGTTCTCTTGCGCTGCTTGTAGAGTGAATTGGGGTCCCTTCCTCCTGGATTAGGGTAGTGGCTTAGACACTGAGTCGTATGAACCCGCTCGACCTTTAGTTTCCCACTTGACCCCGGGGCGTCATGGTGTTTCAGAAATTCTGAGTTGGAGCTGGAGGCGCTCACCTCCCTGAGGGTTTTTACTTCATGAGAAATTTGACGGCTGGTTTTCTGCTTAGGAGGTCAGAAACCAAAGTATCTTCCCGATCTTCTCCCAGGAGAGATAGCATCTCCTGAGGAGAAACAGCCACGCAAGAGGCAACTGTCGGGAAGCCTCAAAATACTTGTTTATGAAATCTGACTGAACGCTCTGGCTGCACCACGGAATTTCCTTTTAGACCTAAAAACAGCAGAGACCCTTCAGGGAGGTCTCACTGCGGCAGTGCCCTCCAGCCAAAGACCGTCAAGAACACTCCTGTAGTTGGAAAAGGTGGGGTTTATGGTCTTGCAGGGAGGGCAGTACACTGTGGAAAACACCGGGACGTCTTGAGAAGAGGGTGTTGGAAAGAATTTACAGGATTTGGGCAGGGTTTAAGGAAGCAGAGCTTCTCTCTGGATTAGATGCAGTCAGGAGGTGGGGGTAATTCTATGATTGGGTAATTTAATAATTTTTTTTTTTTTTTTTGAGACTCGCTCTGTCTGTCGCCCAGGCTGGAGTGCAGTGGCGAGATATCGGTTCACTGCAAGCTCTGCCTCCCGAATTCAAGCGATTCTGCTTCAGCCTCTCGAGTAGCTGGGATTACAGGCATGAGCCACCTCGCCTGGCCTATAATTCTTACATAATAAGAAAGTAGAACTGGCCGGGTGTGGTGGCTCACGCTTGTAATCCCAGCACTTTGGGAGGCCAAGGCGGGCGGATCACCTGAGGTCAGGAGTTCAAGACCATCCTGGCCAACATGGCGAAACCTCGTCCCTACTAAAAATAGAAAAAGTTGCCGCGTGTGGCGGTAGGCGCCTATAATCCCAGCTACTCTGGAGTCTGAGGCAGGAGAATTGCTTGAATTCGGGAGGCAGAGGTTATAGTGAACCGAGATCGCGCCACTGCACACCAGCCTGGGCGACAGAGTGAGACTCCGTCTCAAAAAGAAGATTAAAAAAAAGAAGAAGAAAGGAAGTGGAACCAAGCGAGGCTAAAACTGCAATTGGTTTAAAAAAAAAAAAAAGTGACTGGACGCGGTGGCTCACGCCTGTAATCCCAGCACTTTGAGAGGCGAGGCGGACGAATCACGAGGTCAAGAGATTGAGACCATCCTATCCAACATGGTAAAAGCCCATCTCTACTAAAAATACAAAAATTAGCTGGGGATGGTGGTGCGCACCTGTAGTCCCAGCTCTCAGAAGGCTGAGGCAGGAGAGTCACTTGAACCCATGAGGCGGAGGTGGCAGTGAGCCGAGATCAAGCCACGGCACTCCAGCCTGGTGACAGAGCGAGACTCCATCTCAAAATAATGATAATATTAAAAAAGCCTGGGCGCAGTGGCTCACACCTGTAATGCCAGCACTTTGGGAGGTGAGGCAGGCGGATCATGAGATAAGGGGTTTGAGACCAGACTGACCAACATGGTGAAACCCCATCTCTACTAAAAATACAAAAATTAGCCGGGCATGGTGGTGTGCTCCTGTAATCCCAGCTACTCAGGTGGCTGAGGCAGGAGAATCGCTTGAACCCGGGAGGCAGAGATTGCAGTGAGCGGAGATCGCACCACTGAACTCCAGCCTGGGCGACAGAGCGAGACTCCGTCTCAAAAAAAAGAAAAAAAGAGGATAGAGATGGGAGCATATCTGGTTGTTTTGTTTTGTTTTGTTTTGTTTTTTTGAGACAGAATTTCGCTCTTGTTGCCAGGTTGGAGTATAATGGCATGATCTTGACTCACCGCAACTCCGCCTCCTGGGTTCAAGCAATTCTCCTGCCTCAGTCTCCCAAGTAGCTGGAATTACAGGCATGCACCACCACGCCTGGCTAATTTTGTGTTTTTAGTAGAGACAGGGTTTCTCTGTGTTGATCAGACTAGTCTCGAACTCCCGACCTCAGGTGATCCACCCACCTTGGCCTCCCAAAGTGCTGGGATTACAGGTGTGAGCCACCATGCCCGGCCTTATATCTGGTCATTTTTTTGTGGTTGGCACAATGTTTCTTTTTGTTTATATTCAGACATCATTGTGGAGTGGTTTTGTTTTTGTTTGGACCCACCGTGGTCACAGAATGGCCTTGCCTGATGTTGGTGTTCTGAAATTGTTAGTGTTCAACAGGGCAGCACATCCTAGTTAACAGTGCCAGCCAGCTTCCTGCTATCATAGGCTGGATCTCTTCACTGTGTTCCACATTACTAAATCATATTCGCTGCTTTAGGCCTCAACACAACTGTGTGAGATAATCCACAGATACCTAGTACTCTCTACTGGATACTAGACCCTAATCTAAGCATGGCAGTTCCTTGCCTCCAAGGAGCTTACAGCTTAATGAGATGGATGGTTTATTAGCCCCTTTTTCCAGATGAGGAAACTGCTTTTGTGGCACTGAATAGTCAAGCCATATGCAGCCAGCAAAACAGGTAACCTGGGAATCCAAGTCCAGACAATCTGATGCCAGTGGCTGCCACTTTCCCACCTTGAGAATCTGAATCCCTAAAGAGCCTGGACTGGTGCCACCAAACTTCAGTCATTTCCAGCTACTGATATTTGTGCATACCAGAGTTACTCAATGGTAGCATTATTGACATATTGGCAGACAATTTTTTGTCAGGCCAGATAATTATTTGTTGTGAGATGTTATTCTGTGCATTGTAAGATGTTTAGCAGCATCCCAACCTCTATATAATAAATGCCAGTGGCACCCTCCCCCGGTTGTGACAACCAAAAATGTCTCCAGACACTCCCAAATATTCCCTGGGAGGGACAGAATCACCCCTGTTTGATCATTTTTTGGATCTTTGAGAGAGAAACATTTGGATATGACAGTCCCCAAATCATTTTAAGTGAGAGGCCTTGAAGAGAAGGAAACAGTGTGGCCTAAGTTTTGGAAAAGGCTGTTCAAATACAAAAATGACAGAGAAAGGAAAAATAAATGAAATGGAAAAACAAAAGAAGACAAGTGATAGAGGTGAAGAAAAGGAACTTATGAAATGATCTGTGGGCCAGGCATGGTGGCTCACACCTGTAATCCCAGCACTTTGGGAGGCCCAGGTGGGAGGATTGCTTGAGCTCAGGAGTTTGAGACCAGCCTGGCCAACATAGGCCCATCTCTACAAAAAAAAAAAAAAAAATATATATATATATATATACACACACACACACACACACATATATATATAATATATATATAGGTGGGATGTGTATATATATATTATATATAATATAAAATATATTTTTAATTAAAAAATAAGTTACTCATATCATACCAAGGAAGCTAGTTCATTAGTTCACACTAACAAAGACACTAAGAAATTTTTTTTTTTTGAGACAGAGTCTTGCTCACAGCCCAGGCTGGAGTGCAGTGGCACAATCTCGGCTCACTGCAAGGTCCGCCTCCTGGGTTCATGCCATTCTCCTGCCTCAGCCTCCCAAGTAGCTGGGACTACAGGCACCCGCCTCTGCGCCCAGCTAATTTTTTGTATTTTTAGTAGAGACGGGGTTTCACCATGGTCTTGATCTCCTGACCTTGTGATCTGCCTGCCTCAGCCTCCCAAAGTGCTGGGATTACAGGCATGAGCCACCGTGCCCAGCCTGTACCACAATCTCTTATGAAATTGCTTATTGTGAATCAATCCTCAAGTATCTATTCCATGATACATGCTTTAGGAAAATCAGATTTCTGGTTTTGGAGGCCAAATACATGAGGTCCTGAGCTCTGGTGCTCTACTCCAAGGGTCTCTGAATGGCTGGGCATATTTTTTTTACCATATTTTTTAAAAAAGAGCACTAAACTGGGAGACAAAAGACCAAGACTGCAGTTCTTGGTTGTTTTCCACAGATAGATGAGTCTCAAGGAATTTGAGACTTCCTTGAAACTCAAGGAAGTACTCAAGGAAGTTGAGTAAAGGAAGCTTCTTTACTCATTGCTTCTGTTAATTCATCTTTAAACGGGATAAAAAAGACTGTGGAGTCTAGAATTGTATGAGGATCAAATAAAACCCCCCCGCAAAAAAGTTTAAGATAATTTTTTGAGTTGTAGTTATTCCCAGTATTCCAGAGCCTCTGATCTCTTGATATTTGTTACAAGTTTCACATCTTATTTCATAATGAAATGCTAAAGATGCCTCAGCAATAGCCAGTTGACTTCAAAGGTCTCGTATGAGGAATCCTTTTAATTTGGGCTATTCACCTTATAATTTGGTCCTGGGAAAACAGCAAATAAATAAAATTTTATGAGGACTATTGATGATCTAAGATGGTAATTATCAGTGTAGTTTAGCATGAGCTAATGAAATACAGACTCAGGATTTTCATCTTAGTATAAAAAAGCTCTTCTCCAACAAATCCCCAAATGACGGATGACGCCAGTGCAGGGGGCGGCGGGGCGGAGGGCGGGGCGGAGGCCCCCGCAGCCCTGGGAGGGATGGGGAACCGCGGTGGCTTCCGCGGAGGTTTCGGCAGTGGCATCCGGGGCCAGGGTCACGGCCGTGGACTGGCCGGAGCCGAGGCCGCGGAACTCGCTGAGGCAAGGCCGAGGATAAGGAGTAGATGCCCGTCACCAAGCTGGGCCACCTGGTCAAGGACCTGAAGATCAAGTACCTGGAGGATGTCTCTTCTCCCTGCCCATCAACGAATCTGAGATCATTGACTTTTTCCTTGGGACCTCTCTCAAGGAAGAGGTTTTGAAGATTATGCCGGTGCAGAAGCAGACCCGCGCCGTTCAGCACACCAGATTCAAGGCGTTTGTTGCCATCGGGGACTACAATGGCCACGTCGGTCTGGGTGTTAAGCGCTCCAAGGAGGTGGCCACTGCCATCCGCGGAGCCATCATCCTGGCCAAGCTCTCCAATGTCCCCGTGCGCAGAGGCTATTGGGGGAACAAGATGGGAAAGCCCCACACCGTCCCTTGCAAGGTGACAGACCGCTGCCGCTCTGTGCTGGTGCACCTCATCCCCGCGCCCAGAGGCACTGGCATTGTCTGGGCGCCTGTGCCCAAGAAGCTCCTCATGATGGCTGGTGTTGATGACTGCTACACCTCAGCCAGGGGCTGCACTGCCACCCTGGGCAACTTCTCCAAGGCCACCTTTGACGCCATCTGTAAGACCTACAGCTCCCTGACCCCCGACCTCTGGAAGGAGACTATATTCACCAAGTCTCCCTATCAGGAATTCACTGACCACCTCGTCAAGACCCACACCAGAGTCTCCATGCAGAGGACCCAGGCTCCAGCAGTGGCTGCAACATAGGGTTTTTATACAAGAAAAATAAAGTGAATTAAGCCTGAAAAAAAAAAAAAAAAAAAAAAGCTGGTCTCAAATTAGGGGCCTGTATGGAAGAATTAATATCTGTTGAGTACTTACTGTCAGGCCCTATAGATGTTACATGCATTATCTCGTTTAATACTCAAGAACAGCTTTGTCAGGTTAACATTATATCCATTTTATAAACAGGTTAACGAAGGCTCAGAGAGTGTAAGTCACTTACCCAACATAACACAGTGAGTAACAGAGATGGAATTCGAGCCCAAGTCTGCGTGAATCTGGAGCCCATATTTTTTCTGCTATGTTACAGTGCCTCTGGAAATATATTTGACTATGCCTACTGGTAATAGAGTTTATGATAAATGATATATATTTGATGTTTATATATTTATATCAATTGTTTTACTTCATCATTACAAGTAAGATAGACTATCTAGGGATGATTATCACCACTTTACAGATGAGGAAACAGATAGTCAAAAAATTTAACTTACCTAGCTTCAGACAACCAATAAATGATAATAATAGCGCTTGGACACATGTACTGCAACTCTCGGACTCCTGCTTTTTCCACATTGGCCTATGAGAGTAGAATTTTATCTATATTTTATCTATGAGTTTTCTTTTTCCTTTTTTTTTTTTTTTTTTTCTGAGACAGAGTCTTACTCTGTCACCCAGGCTGGAGTGCAGTGGCGCAATCTCGGCTCACTGCAACCTCCATCCCCTGGGTTCAAGCGATTCTCCTGCCTCAGCCTCCCAAGTAGCTGAGAGGGATTACAGGTTCCTGCCACCATGCCCGGCTAATTTTTGTATTGTTAGTAGAAATGGGATTATATCATCTTGGCCAGGCTGATCTTGAACTCCTGACCTCATGATCCACTTGCCTCAGCCTCTCAAAGTGCTGGGATTACAGGCGTGAGCCACCTTGCCCAGCCATATCTATGAATTTTCTGGCTCTAACTTTTAATAGGAGCAAACAGTGGGCATCTTGACAGTCTTGCACTTCTGTTTATGCTTGTACAGATTAAACACATATGTTCACTCCCCAAATCACTGAAGTGACAGTGAGTTAACATTTTTGTGGTTTCCAGTCTATGGACAAAGAGAGTAAGAAAGAAACCGATAGCAGGTTTCTTTCTTACTATTTTTGTCCATAGACTGGAAACCACAAAAGGATATCAAGGATATCAACACATTTTTGGAAGATGGAAAACCATAGTTGAGCTGAGAAAACAATTCTAAATGTTTGCTGAGGGTTATACTAACAAGAGACAAACAGATTCGTATTGCGGAACACTAGAATGTCAGGACTGGGACAGAGCAGATCAGAGGTGACGTGAGAGGCAGGAAAGAGAGGGTTTGGCTGAAAGCCTTTATAGGAAGTGAAACGGCCAGGTCTTTTTCTCCATCCTACTCACTTAGACAACTACCCTTTCATCTCCCTAGCAGCCCCCGGGACAAAATTGAGGTAGAGAAGCTCCAGACACTGAGATACCAGACACAGCTAAAGATAATAGCAGGGAGGCTAAGGTAGGAGGGTATCAGACTGAAAACAGAGATTAGATGAATTGTCTACATGCTGAACGGTGAAACACACTCAGTCCTCCTACTGAAATTTGCTCCAGGAATGCTGACAGCAAGGCTTGTATTCTCCAGGCAAGATATCAGGGAATTAATTTTAATTAACCCCAGAGGAAAGATCTATACATACTGATATTTGAGATCCCCCAACAAAACACCTAAGTACCCACTTTATCATCCTACAGTGAAACCCACGAACTGATAAACTTCCTGTTAACACAGAGCTTCCAAATACTTAGTGACTCACTCTTAAATATGAAGAGACAACAAAGGGTCACCAGATATTTAAGATAAACCTTCACCAAGAAAGACAGCATCAATTAGAAAAAAAAGAAAAAGGGAACAGAAACTGAAAAGAACAGAAAAATGTTTTTTAAAAATAAGCAGTCTATGAGAGATAGTAGAAAATACTGCATCCATAAAGCAAAGATAAAATGGTCCAAAAAACAAACAGAAAAAGTAACAGCTCTGGGGAATTAAAAATATAATAGAAAAATTGGCTGAGTATGGTGGCTCATGCCTGTAATCCCAGCACTCTCAGAGGCCAAGGTAGAAGGATTGTTTAAAGCCAGGAGTTCGAGACCAACCTGAGCAATATAGATAGATCTCTGCTAAACATTTTTTTAAAAAGAAAAATTAGGCTGGGCGCAGTGGCTCATGCCTGTAATCAAGAGGAAAACAAGAAAAAGTAAAACAAGAAAGACAGAAAAAAAAAATCCTAAAATTTGTACAGAACAAAAAGTCCAAATAGTCAAAGCAATCCTAAATGAAAAGAACAAAGCTAGAGGCATTACACTGCCTGACTTTAAAATATATTGCAAGGCTCTAATAACCAAAACAGCATGGCATTGATATAAAAACATAGACCAAGAGAACAAAATAGAGAACCCAGAAATAAATCCACATACAGCAAATTGATATTTGAAAAAGGTACCAAGCACATACGCTGGGGGAAAATGTTGTTGTGAAAACAATATCCATAAGAAGAATGAAACTAAACTCCTCTCTCTCACCATATGCAAAAAATCAACTCAAAATGTGTAGGGAAAACAAAGAGAGATCAGATTGTTACTGTATCTAGAAAAAGGAAGACAAAAGAAACTCTTTTTTTTTTTTGAAAGGAAGTCTCACTCTGTCGCCCAGGCTGGAGTGCAGTGGCACAATCTCGTCTCACTACAAGCTCCACCTCCCGGGTTCACACCATTCTCCCACCTCAGCCTCCCTAGTAACTGGGACTGCAGGTGCCCGCCACCATGCCCAGCTAATTTTTTGTATTTTTAGTAGAGACAGGGTTTCACTGTGGTAGTCAGGATGGTCTCGAACTCCTGACCTCGTGATCTGCCTGCCTCAGCCTACCAAAGTGCTGGGATTACAGGCATGAGCCACCACGCCTGGTGAAGAAACTACATTTTTATCTGTACTAAGAAAAATTGTTCTGCTTTGAGATGCTGTTAATCTGTGACTCTTGGCCCAACCCTGTGCTCACAAAAACATGTGCTGTATTGACTCAAGGTTTAAGGGATTTAGGGCTGTACAGGATGTGCTTTGTTAAAAATGTGTTTGCAGCCGGGCGCAGTGGCTCACGCCTGTAATCCCAACACTTTGAGAGGCCGAGGCAGGCGGATCATGAGGTCAGGAGATCAAGACCATCCTGGCTAACATGGTGAAACCCTGTCTGTACTAAAAATACAAAAACTTAGACAGGCGTGGTGGCACGCACCTGTAGTCCCAGCTACTCGGGAGGCTGAGGCAGGAGAATGGCATGAACCCAGGAGGCAGAGTTTGAAGTGAGCCGAGATTGCGCCACTGCATTCCAGCCTGGGCGACAGAGAGAGACTTCCCTCTGAAAAAAAAAAAAAAGGAAAAAAAAAAGTATTTCCAGACAGTATGCTTTGTGAAAGTCATCGCCACTCTCCATTCTCTATTAACCAGGGACATAATGCACTGTGGAAGGCCACAGGGACCCCTGCCCAAGAAAGCCTGGGTATTATCCAGGTTTCCCCCCACTGAGACAGCCTGAGATATGGCCTCATGGGAAGGGAAAGACCTTACAGCCCCCCAACCCGACACCTGTAAAGGGTCTGTGCTGAGGAGGATTAGTGAAAGCAGAAGGCCTCTATGCGGTTGAGATAAGAGGAAGGCACCTGTCTCCTGCACGTCCCTGGGAATGGAATGTCTTGGTGTAAAATCTGACCATACATTCTATTCTGAGATAGGAGAAAACCGCCTTATGGCTGGAAGCGGTACTGCCTCATGGCACTGAGGTGTTAATATAAGGTTAAACATAAATCTAGCGTATGTGCACATCCAGGCACAGCATCTTTTCTTCGACTACTATTTATGACACAGAGTCTTTGTTCACATGTTTTTCTGCTGACCCTCTCCCCACCTTCACCCTATAGCCCCACCACATTCCCCTCGTGGAGATAGTAAAGAAAGTGATCAATAAGTACTGAGGGAACTCAGAGACCAGCGCAGGTGCAGGTCCTCACTTGCTAAGTGCCAGTCCCCTAGGACCACGTTTTTTCCTCTATACTTTGTCTTTGTGTCTTATTTCCTTTTCTTAGTCCCTCGTCTCCACCTTGTGAGAAATACCCACAGGTGTGGAGGGGCAGGCCCCCTTCATCTGGTGCCCAATGTGGGTTCCTTTCTCTATGGTGAAGATACGCTACAGTGTGATCATTGAAGGCAAATCGATGAGAGATTCCTGAGTACGTCCACGGTCAGCCTTGCGGTAAGCTTGTGCACTCAGAGAAACCTAGGATAACAATGGGTCAAACTGAAAGCAAATATGCCTCTTATCTCAGCTTTATTAAAATTCTTTTAAGAAGAGGGGGAGTTAGAGCCTCTACAGAAAATCTAATCATGGTATTCCAAACAATAGAACAATTCTGCCCATGGTTTCAAGAACAGGGAACTTTAGATCTAAAAGATTGGGAAAAATTGGCAAAGAATTAAAACAAGAAAATAGGGAGGATAAAATCATCCCACTTACACTACGGAATAATTGGGCCATTATTAAAATAGCTTTAGAATATTTAAAACAGAAGAAGATAGCGTTTCAGTTTCTGATGCCCCTGAAAGCTGTGTAATTGATTGTGAAGAAGAGGCAGGGACAGAATTCGAGAAAGGAACGGAAAGTTCACAGTATAAAAAGGTAGACGAGCCTGTAATGGTTCAGTCAACGCAAAATGTTGACTACAGTAAATTACAGGAGGTAATATATTCCGAACCATCAAAATTGGGGGGAAAAGGTCTAGAACTATTGGGGCCATCAGAGTCTAAACCACGATGGCCAACTCTCCAATCCCAAATGCAGGTTAGACAAGTACAAACCCCAAGAGAATATCAGAAAAGGATAGTCTCTATCACGGCAATGACAATCCAGATACAGTATCCACAATATCAGCCGGTAGAAAGTAACACCCAACGGCCAGTACCCTGCCAATACTGGTCGCCAGCCGAACTTCAGTATCGGCCGCTCCCAGAAAATCAGTATGGACAGCCAGGAAGTTTCCAGCACTACAGGGCACGGTGCTATATCCTCAGCCGCCCACTATGAGACTTAATCCTACAGCACCACCTAGTGGACAATATGGTGCATTACATGAAATTATTGAGAAGGCAAGAAAACAAGGAGATACTGAGGCATGGCAGTTTCTAGTAATATTAGAGCCCATACCACCTGGAGAAGGGGCCCAAGAGGGAGTGCCTACCCGAGCTGATGCCAGGTATGAGTCCTTTTCTATGAAAATGCTAAAAGACATGAAAGAGGGAGTAAAACAGTATGTACCCA